CCGCGGAGCCGACGCCTACAAGTTTGCCATTACTGGTGCGGGTCCATTTCCATACTGGGTACGGGGCGACTGCGGGTGCGCGCGGGGCGGGGGAACGGTGGTGGGCGCACGTCAGCTGTTCTAAATGTGATAAAGGTATGGGCCCACCCCACGCGTGACGTGCGCGCGGGTTCGACTCCCGCTAGGGCCTAACCCCCCAACCCCACCCCGCCTCAGGGGTGCGCTGTACTCTGTACACGCGCTGTTCTCTGTCCATTTCCCCGCCATGTTATCACGCTAGGCCCGGTTGCCGCATGGCGGTGCTCTACAGGCGAAACTCAGATTAAGCGAGGACATTGTTAGTGGTGCGGGGTACTTTTTTCACGTCCCGGTAATAGTTGATAAGATAATTTTTTTAGACGCCTCCAGAAAAAAAGAGTTGAGCAAATCAAAGAACAACCAATCACTGATCTCGGTTTGTTGACAACATGCTGAGTTCAAAAAGCAAAGCAGGGTCCTTGGCGTGATTTGAGATACCGGGTACCAGGTACCAGGTAGCTGATTAACCTCGCGCCCTTCTGCAGCAGCGCCAAATCCTTGAAACTTTTGTTATTCTTAGCGGTCGGATTACTGTCAACGTGGCCAGGGGCGATAGGCAAGCCCTTAACTTTTTTAGGTTAATCAGCCACCAGATTAATTTCACAATGGTCTTCCCAAATCTTGAAAAACCCCTTGCCCGTCTTGAAAATCCGGAAAAAAATGGCCGCGCGTGGAACGAGTAGTACCCCCGCACTCACACGAAAATATGGCGTAATTCGTGTTCAAAGTAAAGTAAGGCGTGTGGCCAGGCCTAAAGGCGCGGGCCCGTGAGCCCGCGAGCCTAATGGAAATGAGAGTGACTCACATGAAGTGCCCAGCGAGCGCGAGGTGGCGCGAGCACAGGCCGGCGCCGCTATAGCGCCCTATGCGCTGCGTGCGCCCCGTACACCTGGCGGCCGCGCGCGTAAAGTGCGTCCGTGACGGCGCCCGATTGTAATCATCATTATTAGACTATTGCACACCGGGAAAATGCAAAATTATTATTCATTTCGGAGCCGCGCGGATGATTAATGGCAGTAGGGTCGTGCGCGCGATTTCCGCGCGCGAATATTCATAGAGACGACGATGTGCACGAAATTTGTCGTTACTGCCGTGCCCCGTGTCGTGGCGGGGCGTGGCGTATGGCGGGGCGGGGCGGGGTGGGGCGCGGTGGATCCTCCATCCTCTGCTCCGCCGCTGTGCTGCGCCGCTGGACTTGGACGCCGTCCAATCCGCCCCGGTGACGTAACGTTATTATGGTAGTAAAGGAATTTGGCAACCCAGATGATGCTGTGTGTGTCCTGCTGCAGTCCTTCTGGCTCATGCACCTCTCTTCTGCCCCAGTGTTGGTGCGACTGCACGTGTGTGTGTGTGTGTGTGTATGTGTGAGCGCGCCCGCAGGTTGGCTGGCCTGGCCTGTGCACCCACCGTGTATGCAGTACTGTACGCAGAATACAGAATCAACGATCCGTGGCTCGGGCAAAGGGAACAACAAAATGCATGCCCCCCTCCCCTCCCCCAGGCCATGGGGGCCGGCCCCCCCGGGCCGAGCAGGAGGAGTACGCGCGCATACTTTGTAAGGTGGGTACACCACGTTTGGGCGGCGGCTCCGGCCCGGCGCCAGAGGCGAGTCACTGTCCATTGCTCCTCGTGCAGTACTAGACTGCACCCCCTTGCGTCCGGCACCGAGGAGGTGTAGAGGGACGCAATGGCAACGCGTTGGAGGGCATGACGCGGCAGCCCGCAGGCCCTGCCTGCAGCCCACGTGGCACGACGAGCTCTCAACACCTTGCTCGTCATCGGCCACCTGCTCCCGCCGCCGGCCGCCGCTCTCATCCCGCCCCGTCCCGCCGCCTCCGCTACCCCTCGGCTTGGCTCGCACCCCTTCTCGCCGACCCCGCGCCCACCACCCTCGACTCGAGCGCGAACCGAGCGACGACTCTAAAGCGAGGCGTTGGGTTGCGCACTGCGCTGCTGGGAGACTGGCAGACGTACCGTACGGTACGGGCCGGGGGAAAATGCCAGGCTTGTTTTTCGGATCTGGGTGCGAGAAAGAAGTACACAGAGACAGTGCGAGAGTAGAGGGCACACCGGGCAGAGAGAGGCAATCAGCGACGGCGAGAGAGAAAGAGGAAGGGGAGAGGGGGGCGGGGGACGATGCTCCGGTGTGCGCCAGCTTGTGTATGTGTGCGTGGCATTCCTTACCCGGCTCGGCGGACCAGCCAATGGCAGGCCAACCTCACCCAGTCCGGGTAACGAGAGGTTACAGTCCTGAGCGAAGGGAGCCGAGGAGCGAGGAACGGGAGAGAAGATGAGAGAGCGAGAGAGAGAGCAGCCGGCATGCGAGGCGTTGCGAGGGCGTCGGGCTGTGCTGCTGTGCCCCCCCTGCGGTGGAGGTCTTCCTTGCGGTGGAGGTGGCGGCCCTCGAGGAGGTCCCCCTCCTTGTGGTGGTGCCGGGCTGGGGGCCCTTCTCGCTGCTCGGGGGAGGCTGCCGCGCTGGCGCTGCTGGCGCTGCTGGCGCTGCTGGCGCTGCTGGCTCGGCTGCTCGGGGGGCCCAACGCGGGGGGTTGGTTGTTCGCTGCTCGCTCGGATGGGATATGGGACGTTTGACCCACTTTCGCTAGCTTTCGCTTCCCTTCGCAGTGTTAACATCGCGGGGGGCGGGCGCAGCGCGGGACCGGGGGCGGCGAGGGGGCGGCGCTGCGCCTGGAGGCGAGCATGGAGGCGCTGGAGAATACTGCCCGAAGCAAAGCTCCCCCACGCTTTTTGGCTGGCTCAAAGCCGCTGGAGCACGCTGCTGCAGCACCAGCCAGGGTTTCGGTGAGGAACCCATTCCGTGCGATCGCCAACAGCGATGGAATGCTGGTGCCTCCCTCCCTAACCTCTCCCCCCCCCGGGACCTTCGAAAATGTTCTCTCCCCTCCCATGGGGCCTCAACGGAGGAAGGCTGAAGCCCCCCTCCCCCTTTGGCTGGAAGGGAGACGAGACGAGGACGAGAAGGACGAGGAGGAGGAAGGAGGGGGCGGCACCGCGTGCTGTGTGGAGAGGGGTGGGGACTCGAGGGACGCGGTGCGAGCCTGGTAGAGCCTCCGCCGAGGACGGCGTCGTGCCTCCGTGACCTCGGCCTCGGAGGCGTCGGAGGGGTAAACCTCGCGACCTCGCGTCCACAGTCCACCACACACTGCACCGAGTTGTTGACGTTCCCATGTCACCCCCCCCCCCTTTCCTTCCCCAGGTCCTAAGTGACTCAGAACGCGTCACGCGGGTGCAGCGGGTCAACGGACGACGGTGAGCGCCGCGGCCAGCCCGCCCTTTCTGGCAGTGTAGCCGCGCGGCTGTTTACCACAGACAACCCACCGGACGCTCTCATAGAAGGGCGGTAGCTGTACAAGACTATCCCCCCCCACCACCCCCGGCTCCGACTGTCACTTGAATCTATCTGCATTGTGCATCGGTTTCGACAAAATTCTCGTGGCGCGATGGCGGTCCGCCGCGCGGTCCCCGGCGAGCCCCTAGCGCCCGGCCCGGTCCCTTCCCTCCGGTCATTGTATTTAAATGGTCCAATGTAACTTGCAAATGCCGTGGAGCTCCCCCACCCCCCTCCCCCCTGGCCGCGGGCCGCCGCCTAGGCCCGGCCGCAAGCCTGACCGCAGGCGGCCAGGGGCCTGTACTGGCCGGCCCATGCCCATACTATCTCTGACATTCTTTCAAAATCGTTCCATTCATGAGCCCGGCCAGAGCGGCCGGCGCGGCCACTAGTCGCTAGTGTGCGCCCGAGCGGCCCCACACCGCCGGAGAAGGACGCCGAGCGTTCACCTGGGAGGCACACTTACACGCGGGAGCTCGGCGTCGCCGGTCTTGCCGACTGCCCGGTCTTCCCCTCCGACACACGGCGGCGCCGCCGGTTCGCAATGGACGAGGTAAGAGTCGCGAGTGAGAAAAAGTTTTTCTCAGAGAAGGAAAGTTTTTCCTCTCGCCGACGCCTATTTTTATCCGGACTCGCACAGCACTATAGGCGCGCCACGCATTGCTACGCCGCTACGCACGCTGCGCGCTGCGGGGCGCGCCAGGCTACGCATAGCAGGCCGGCCAGCGGCTGGGGAGGGGGGAGGGATCAGCTGTGGCTACTACTATTCTAGCGCGTATACGCGCCCAGCTCTCATCGCGAGTCAGCGAGCAAGTAGCCCCCCCCCCTCCCCCTCCCTGAACCCTTCCGAGGCCCCCTTGGAGGGCTCGGGCTCGGGGCCCTCCGCGGGGGTTGCAGCCCTCGATTCTGCAAGCACCCCCGCGGAATGGTAGGCACTGGGCCCCCAGGACGAGCTCACGAGTGGCCGCCGCCGTTCTGGCTCGGCTGGGCTCGGCTCGGTTTTCCCCTGTTTTTCCAGCCCTACGCCCCAAACGCCGAGGCGGGCCGAGCCGAGCCGAGCCGCGATCCAGGCCCTCGGGCCCCGGGCCCAGGGCAGGCAAGCCAAGGAAAGGGAATTGATACACCATTTCATTCACAAGTGCGGGGCCGAGGAGCGCGGGGCGGGGAGGGCGGGGGGAGGGCAGGGCGCTTACGAGACTTCCCCCTCCACCGCGCCATTGATCCGACCCTCCTCGTGCGGCCGGCCGGCCAATGGGAGCGCGCCTCTCAACCCGCCTCGGCCGCCGCTAGTCTTGATCAATGAGCGACTCTTTTGTTCGAAAAACGCACTTTTCGGGTACTTGCACGTCGAATTGAGCTCCGAGACGGCGGCAGGTCGTGCAGGGGGCCCCAGTCCGGCCGCTGCCGACGAGCCCCGGCCCAAAAGTGAGCCCAGATAGCGCGAAAAACGAGTGCGATCCGAAGGCTTGCGGGCGCTGTGGGCCTGCCAGCCCGGGCCCCAGCCCCCCCACCACCCCCTCCCCGTGCCGTAGTGAGTCGCTCGGCCGGCACTCGCTTCAGCTGACTGCCGCTCGGGCTCCGCGACTCGCTCGCTAGTAGTAATATGACGGGCGTACAGGCGGGTCGCAGCGCGTGGCGAGAGGAGGCTAGCCTTGGCGCCCAGGCTCGGTAGTGCCGTCCGGTCGCGGTGCACACACCCATGCGAGCTCGCGGATAATCGCGGAGAAAAGCCTCCCCCGCTTCGTGCCTTCCCTGTCCCGCCGTTCTCCCCGTCCTCGCACACCGGGAGGGTCTAGGAGGATGGGCGTCTAGCGGGCCAGCGCCGATCTGTCTCTGCGGGGGTCGCGCTCAGGTCGCGCCTTACGCGGCGGGTGAAATATGCTCAAGTTCCTCACCCACAAGCTTAAGAACCACTCCCTGAATGAGGACAAGTCGCCCGTGGACAAGGTAGGCAGCGCGGCCCCGTCGGGCCCGGCCCTAGCGAGCACGCCCAAGGTCAAAACCGGCTACACACTGCGGGGCCCAGCGTAAAGATGGCTGCCCGCCAGGCGGACCCGAACAAAGAAAGCCCAAGTTTGCGCCGCCAGTGCGCGGGGCGGCGCGCTTAATGCTGAAAGTCGGGTCCGCCCGGCGGCTCTGTCACACCTGGCCGACGTGCGAGTCGCTTTTCACACCTGCAGGCGCGTGCTGAACGCCCTTAACTCTGCCTTAACCCGCGCGGTGCGGCGAGCGCAGGCAGAGCGCTCTAGCTGTCAGTCGCGCACCCAAAAGGATGGCTCCCGTTAACGCTTGTTTCTCTTGGTCGACAGGCTGACGAGATCCACGATTCTGGAACAGAATCTGACGACGAAAACGTCGAACGTGAAGACTCCGAAATCAGTAAGTGTTTTCTGTGCGTTTGCCAGCTATCCTTTGGCAGCCGCGGCCCCCCACTGCAGTCCGTAGCCTAACCGGGTGGCTCGCGCTACCCGGTCGGTACCGGCCGCTGTGGACCAACTTTTGGCAGTCTTGCCGAGTTGGTGGACAATGTCGACATAGGCCTCGAGCTTAATTTTCCTCCACCCGAGTTGGAACTCACCACTGAATCGATTTCCCCCAGTTTTCCTTTGTCTGCTCAGCAGCAGAGGACCCCCTACAGAGAGGCTAGCCAAATCCTGCCAGACTAAATTTTAACTCATTTCCGGGTTGTTAACGGGACTTTATGATGAGTGCGGTACGAAATCAAGTATTTGATGGGTTGCTTTTTCACTTTGAAGGGCCCTTCCGTTCTCTCTTACTCCCAGTGGATTGAATTATACCTACCAAGTGAGGTTATGTAATTTTCACTTTTTTCTCTTTTTGACAAAAAAAATACCTGTTACTGCCTGAAATACTTTATTTTTCCGCAAGCCTATCTAAGCTTCCTTATCCTGACACTCAATTTTCTAAATGTCATGGAATCTTTTACTCAGAATCAGGCATAACTTCAAAATTATTCGGAACTCACCTCCTGGCTTTTTGCATTTTATGTACTT